TTTGACGTTGCTCTCTTCGGAATACCCTGCTCGGTGCTTTTTGTTTTTTGACGTTTCTTAGGGGCGGTTTCACGTGTAGTCTGTACGATGTGAAAATATTGAGCTGTTGCAGTATCAGTATGCCACCCTTCTCGCATTGTTTTCTTAGACTTCACCTTGGTGCTTTCGCAGACACCGTTCTATGATAGGGGGGTCATGCACAGGGACCAACTGTGCATGCATGTAATTGTACGATTGTTGGTACGTAGCACAATTTCAACTTTGAAGTCACGGATTAAGAAGGGCGAATTTTCAGAGGGTAGGTTAGCACAGTACAGGACAGATGCCTCGTGGGCACGGCGACGTCGGTTAGCACGTTCTATCTACCAACGCTTCCTCAACCGGTATATGGTTTGGGGTGCATGTAGTTTAACTTTAAAACCAAGACCAAGGCGCCGTTGCATAGATTTTCGTCCAATAAGGGCTGGTTTTTATCTGTACAAATCACGGCCCATCATGGAGAGTAAACGAATAAGGAAGCTGTAGGTTGCGGGCTGGAACCTCAATGTTGTGACTTGAGTTCGAAGTTCGAAGACATATGCGATCTTTTAAGATCACGAGATGGTTGTCGTGGGTCGCACACAAGACCAACGCACGCTGGCTGGTGATGCTGTGGACTCAATCAAGAATTTGTCCTCTGTAACATGTAGACAAATGTTGAGCCGCCATTTTTTTGCTTTAAACGTCCTGAGGTCATGATTCGACCATCGACACCGGAGGCTGGGACGTGAATTCGCGGTTGGCTTCTAGTTTACACACCGCTTCTGCACGTCGTGCAAGAAGAGTCCTCAACGTACCATGGAAGGCAGGTTTTGTGTTTTTTTACATGCCCTCACACCTAACATCATTGAACTATGTACAATATGTACAGCAGCCTTCAGACATTAGACTACAGGCAGACATTATCACACACCCTGCAACCGATTTTCAAAGCTCAATTCCTCTGCAACACAGCAGCAAGAAGAGTGGCAGCACCGACAACGGCGTCGTTGAAAGCATCTTGTCGAGGGCTTTTCGAAAACGTATTGTTTTACGTGTGCATTATCACACACCCTGCAATCGATTTTCAAAACTCAGTTCCTCTGCAATACAGCAGCAAGAGTGGCTGCACCGACAACGGCGTCGTTGAAACCATCTTGTCGAGGGCTTTTCGGAAACGTATTGTTTTACCTGTGCATCCTCTTCGTCGTGGAGTAATCAATCAATCGTGCTTTGAAAATCGTGCCAGGGGGTGTGGTATCTTGTGTCACGTGTGGTAGCTCGACGGCATGTTTCTCTATACTCAGTAGTTGCGGATCCTTTGCTGCGCCAACTTGGGGTACTCTTATGGATGGTATGCTGGTCCGCCGGTTTTCTGCCAGTTACCACCACTCACTCTCTGCTCTCTACCATCGCTGCTGTCGTGTTGAATCCATGATGTCGATTGCGATCTCTGTGACAGAGATTCAAAACAGGCGCCTATGTGCCTAAGCCTAGCGCGGAGCACTTAGTGGCTACAAGCTCGTTGCTCGGACGCTCGGACCATATTGATCAAGTCAAGTCGGTCGTATGGCATCTATACGGTGGTAGTGCTCTCTGCTTCGCACTGGGCAACTTGGCAGATTGCGAAACTGATCCGAAAACCTGCTTTGACGGACGTGCAGTCTTGGCCGCTAGGCCTCAGCCGCGCTAATAAAGAAGCTATTTCCACCCCGAATTGAGGCGTGGCAGCTTGCTGAGTGCCACACCTCCTTCCCTAGTTTGGCCAACCAAACTCACACGTAGACAAAAACGATCAGGGATCGGGAACCGTGCCGGTGGGTGACCAGCCAGGCGACCGACGGAGAGACGGAGAGACGGAGAGACGGAGAGACGGAGAACGAACAACGCAACAACGCAACAACGCGGAGGGACCAGCAGTGAACCGTTTTTTCATGTTCCGTTTCGGGACCCGGACTTTTTCTCCGGAGTTTCGCCGCGTTTCACGACATCAAACATCACACACGGTCACGTTCCCCTGTGACACCAACAGCAGCTCCTCAACATACATCACAACCACCAAAACGTAACCCGTTACATCGCATAGTACACTGTTCAAGCAGTGAGCGGAAAATATGACTGTTGCTCAGCTGTCGGGCCATTCTGGCTGGGTGTCGCTCGGAGGCTGTACATAGCTAACCCTACCTGCCTGCTGGCTGTTATCAGTAACTTCGGCAGCGGGAATTTCGCCGGTTCCATAGCGCGCTTGCCGCTCACCATGCTTGAGCTCACGAAAGCGATCAGCGTCCAGTAATTGTACTGCGTGGTTTCGAAGAAGATGGTGTTATCACTGCATCCGACGCTTGTAGATGTAGATGTGATCTTGGCAGATTCCTCTATCCAGCAGCCAGCAGCGGCAACAGCACCCTACTCCGCATATTTAGAGTTCACATCAAGTACAACACCCGACAATCTTTACAGGCGACATGGACTATAATACATCTCTTCCACAAGCCACGGTTTATTGGCCAACGCACATTAACCGTAGATGTTTTGTCACGTTTTCGCCCACGGGTGCCATCACGGTGCGCAGCAAGTCCGATCGACACACGTTCATTCGTTCGCGGGCTGCACCCCGATACGTTACTACACAAGACCCGTTATTTTGTCAGGAGGAACGTGCTTCTTACAGCAACACACAACGTCGGGAGGTATCCCATAGACAAAAGCGTCTCTTCTAAAGTTCATGATGCTGAGTATGATCCACGAAAACTGTTGTGTTGTCAACAGGCGTAGAATAGAGTTGACGGCTGTGGGCCAAGCGAACAAGCAACCTTATCCCAGGGAAAAGTGAAGATGAGCCCCCTGCTCAAGACTTTCCTTTTATAACCTTGGCGCATTTTCCTTGAGAACAAACGAGATCATCTTGCAGGTTCTTGCCTCCGGTGCTGCGAAATAAAATCGTTTTCGAATAGGCGGAATCATTCGACGCAAGCAGCTTGGCACATTGGCGTCTGTCTATACTACGCCAACGAGAAGTCGCCCCTGTGTTGGGGTCATCAGGGAAAACTGTACCGATCTGCCGCGGCCACCAGGCTATTGTGCGCCCGCGGCGTCTCGCACCAGCATTGCAAGTTTCGAAGATACTCTCGCGGTTATCACATTTATGTGCATTTATTCGACACGTTGCATTCAAGAGAAGGCGATACGAGAGCTTGTCGCAACCATTAGTCGAGGTAGCATCGCCAATGGATGGACGGCTTCTTGAACACACCAGAGGCGGGTGAATCAATCGCTCGCATGGTCTTCGTACCAGTGCGGGTTTCCGTTCATCGCTGCGACCGAAAGCATGTGCTAGCGGGTCATTACCGTTCATTTTTTTTTTTTTCTTAATATGACACCACGAAACCATCTCCATCATAGAAAAGAGTCTGAGACAGATTAGCAATGGATTCATAGCGTCAGAAAAGTACCTGTATGTCTACGTTCATTTTGTTTTGTAAAATATATACACAAAGAGGAAAATACTCCGATGCAGACAGCTCTGATTGGTTCAAGAACAAGTTTTTTTTTTTATCACAAAAGTGCCCAAACATTGTTGCTGTTTTCACCCCCTTGTGCCCACAACCTTCCATCTCGACCACTCCAGCGCAAAACGATCAGCAACCGGGTGAAAAGTACATACCTTGCCCAAAGTTCAAACCCTTTGCTGGATACGCAGTCCCTCATCGAAGGAGCTATCGTTGTACTCTGGCTTTGGTTTTGTGCGAGTGGCACACTCCGGTGACGCGACGACGAACTCGCATTACACAGCAGCAGCGCGTTAGACCAGCCGAAGCAAGCAGCACTCAGTAGCAGGCTGAGCAGCCACGGTAACTCAGGCAGTACACCAGTCTCCTGGCTCACTGCGGACGCGAGGCATCTTCTTGTCAAGGAGCCCCGCAACTGCGGTTCAGCTTAGTTCGTCTCGACCCTGCCAACTCAAGGTACGCTCTGTCAAACGATGTCGAGCAGCCGGCTGGATGGGAGGACTACCCTATAGTAGAGTAGGTAGACCGTCGAGATAGGATGGTTCGCGTCCGTGGACGCGTCCGTGGGTTTCTTGTTATAGCCGGCCCATCAAAGACTGGGGGGCGTGGGACTCCACGCGAGGTGATACGGGGTACTTCTACGCTTTCGCGCTTCGAGGCTCCTCGAGGCCAGTTATGGTAGACTAGCTGTTCCAGCGATATGTAACACAAGCGCGCATGAGTTCACATGCCAAGACACGCATGCACAACACATCCCCCCGGCGCGCGCTCGAAGTTTGTGAGTTGTAGTTGGTGTCATCATGCGTAGGGTACTGGGTGGGTAGGTTCCACCACGCCCACATGCGGCTGGACAACAGATACAGCTTCTGCTGTAACTGGAAATTACTCTCGGTTGATTGTACGGCAGCACCATGCAGCACCATGCAGCACAAAAAAAAACAGGAGATCGTCTATTGTACATGTGTATAAAACAAAAATCACAGCAGACCTCTGTTAATCAATCACAAGTTTTCTGTACGCGATGGTGTAGCATGCGATCGCTGTACATAATATATGTGCGGCAAGCGTTGGTCAGGCATGTTAGCTCTCGTGCACGGCCACTGAGAAATGGGACCTACTACTATACCTTTGGAAGTGTTGCCAACTTGACGTGCATTTTTCTCTGTCCTGCCCTTTGCACATGCCATATTGGCATTGCTCCTGATCCCTTCGAGACCGAGACCTATTTCTATATTTGCACACAGAAGACACAAGTTGGTCACGAAAAATTTATTGTACTATTATGGACAAGCACAATAATGCCACACATCCAGCATGCTGAATAGCTGCTAACTGTTGTAGCCCACCAAGGAGTAATCTAATTGGTTTGTTTACACCTTCCCTCTAATCTGTACTCTATATATTGTGATCCGGTGTCCTCAATAATCCAGCAGGTACCTTTCTCTTCTGAGAGCTTTCGAGAAGCATCTAACTATGATTCCGACGCGGTTTTCACAGAGAGCCCGCAACCTGGAGTACGCTACCAAGCGCGCGGGTTACGCCCCTTCCCTGGCGTTTAGGGCGATGTCAAGGAAGGACATGGCCGTACACTCGATGTTAAATGTAAAGGTGAGGTCTGCTCAAGCGCAGTGAGATACCCTGCATAAAACATTTGGGTCATTCCTGCAATGCCTTCTAGGATGTGAAACACCAGCAGAGGCCTACCAAGCACGCCTGGGCGCTCCATCACTGACAAGACGACTTATATCTGATCCATGCTCCCAATTTTTTTATGTCTGATCCGCTCATGATCGCGCGTAATGACTGCCCGACATCCCCCAAAATGTTTTTATGTCTGATCCGCTCATGATCGCGCGTGATAACTGGCCGACATCCAGGAGGCCGTGGCGGCGGGAGCGCTCGTACGCATGAAGACTGGCAAACGGCGTGGAGCGGAGTCCCTGCCGGTGAGTGAGTTGAGAGACTTCTCTCCACGACAACCCCTCACGTTGTGGTTTTGACACCGTACTGATGAGCCGAGTAGTACCTTGGAAGGTGATGCTGTACCGAGAGATTTTCACAGGAACAGAGTTACTCTATCCGTGGCATTACAGCGCCCAGCAGTCGTAGTAATCGTTTAACTCTTCAACGCAACGCGCCGTTCCCCGGGCACCCCCTACAAGGTGAGCACACCTTCGCAGCTACTCACCCCGCTTGACCCCCCCGCCCCCCTGCAACACTTTCGCCTGCCGCCACATCAAGCAGACTAATTTCATGTTCGGGCGCTTCACGCAATACATCATCTCCACGGCCAGCCGCAGCGTGGGATCCACCGACGACGAAATGTCTGATTCTTCGTCCCCCTCTTCCCTCGTCTCCCCCTCGACCTCCAAGGACACCCCAGGCAAGAAAGTCCCCGGCTCGTCCTCCCCGTCCATCGTGTCCGGCTGCTCATCGTACTCTACCAGCCAGCAGTGCCTGAGCGAGGGAGGCGCGGACAGGAAGCGATCCCGTATGGAGGAGTCGGCGGCGGCGGCGGGCGCGTCGAGCCAGAAGCGCTCCCGCCACGACGACGGCTTCACGACGCACGAGGCCCTGGTGGCACGGGTGTCATTCTTGGGCGCCGGCGGCAGCAGCAGTAGCAGCAGCAGCATCGGGAAGTCTTCCCTCCGGCTTACTCCCTTCACGGCCAAGGCTGCCAAGGCTGTCGAGGGAAAGGCGCCGGCGGGCATGAAGATTGCCCTCGCATGGAACGGGAGCGGTGGCAGCACCACCAGCAGCGGCAGCAACAGCGGCAGCACTAGCGGCAGCAACAGCGGCAGCACTAGCGGCAGCAGCAGCGGCAGCACTAGCGGCAGCGGCAGCACTAGCGGCAGCGGCAGCACTTAGCGGCAGCGGCAGCGGCAGCGGCAGCGGCAGCGGCAGCGGCAGCGGCGGTGGTGGGAGGTGCAGCGGCAGCAGCGGTAAGCGCCGGAGGGTCGTCTGGGACGACGGCGATGAAGAAGAAGAGGACGGCAATGCCGAGGTAGGTGCAAGCAAGAAGTGCAGCGTTTAAAAATCGAGGGGAGTGTGTAGTTTTGAAAATGAAGTAGGTGTTCCGCCTTTGATTTTGCACAAACAGGCAAGGCTTGGAGTAATTAGATTCGCAGGACACTGAATTCAGCTAGAATTGTCTCAGAAGCGAGAGATGCCATGTAGACAACTCGCTCCTCCCGTATTCAGAGTGTAACACAAACACAGATAGGTCCTGTCACTTGAGTACACTTTCCGCTTTGAGTTGTGTTGGCAGCCTCTCTAGTTGGTCGAGCATATAGTTGGCCCCATGGGATGGCCAGAAACTTCAGTACTTTTCGACACATTGGTAGAAGCAGCCGCATACCCTCCACCATTCACAATCAAGACCTCTCCCACGTCCTGCCCACGAGCCTCTCACCCGTGGCCTCTCCGCGCCGTTTTTTTTTGCTGTCCTCTTCTTGCACCCCTGGTCAGACCCAGCCCGTCTCGAAGAAATGGCGCAAATAAGCTGCGCTTCACGCTACTATGACGACGGCCCCTTGTGGAGGTGCACGACAGTAAGTCACAAGCGACGAACGACGAGATATGACACGACAAGAGTGTGTGGCAAACCGTGTGCGGTGGTGGGTCCAAGTGCCCCGGTGTTTGTTCGTGTTTGTGCGTAGCGCCAAAGCGGTGGTATTTTGGGGTTGAGGCAAGGAAGAGAGGACATGAACCGTTCTAGACTGATTGGGGGGAGGTCGGGCACTCCTCCTCTAGAGTTTACTTTTAGTCTAAGGTGGGTTGAGACTTACTAGGACTAAATTGCGAGGGAAAAAGGACGGTCTTTGTGCAGACAAAGTGACGGCGGTTGTACGCGCGGTATAGCCCCGTAGAATTAGGTCGCTTGCCATCGTGTACGTACGTATGTGGGGCGCAAGAGTGTGTGGGGATACGCTTACTTTAGACCTGTAGCTCTGTGGCGGACGTACACCTACAGGGTCTTTTTATAGGCTGACACATTTATCTACTTCAGTATTTACAGCGACCCTGGGTATGGAACCGAAAGTATCGGTAGTATTCACCGTGACCAGCCGGTCGTTGGGCGTGTACATAGGTAGTTCATTGAGGGAAAACGTGTGCGATTCCATTTTTGTTGGCGTGTTACGTCCTTCGATCGGTACGGTGGGGAGGGAGAGGGATGAGATGATGGGAGACGGGAGGAAAGCGGGGGGTATAAAAAAAAACGAAAGAACGGTCGTGATTTTTGCGCGTGTGATGTAGCTCGAGAGAACGGTAGAGTGGAATGCTCTGGCATTCCGTCTTGTATGTGGGGCGCCGGGTGTGTAGGGGTGCATATGTTTCAGGTCTTGGCTCTGTGATCCATGCATAGTGTTAGCTCGTAGATTACACGCATTTTTTCTACCAGTCAAGCGACGCTGGGTATGGAACCGAAGAAGTCGGTATGTACACCGTGACTAGTCGGTGGCAGAGTTTGGCTGTGCATTGAGGCACAACACATTTTAGAATGTAAATCACAGGGGACCAAAAGAACAGGGAACAGTATGCATTTCCCTTCCATCGATATGGTGGAGGGGGGAGGGATGGGGGGGACCTGGGAGGCGGGGGGAAAGGGGGGAGGGGAGAAGGATGGGGGAATCTGGGAGGCGGGAGGAAAAAGGGGGGTTTACGAGAAAAAAAAAATAATGGGTTGTAGCTCTACCAGAGGAGTAGAGTAGACAATATGTCGTGGAATGCAGCCAGTCGCTGTCCATCGTGTATTTGGGGTAAAGAGTTACGGGGGTGCATTTCTTTTAGATCTGTGGCTCTGTGATGCATATATGCCCTGATCGTAGTGTATTCTTTGACTGAATCTAGGCGTAGATCCGAGAGGTCTCGGTAGTAGGGTCCAAAGTGACCATTTGGCAGGATAAGTGTTGTTGTGCATCAATGCCCTTGACATTTTGGAAGGTATGGTGTATGGGATCAGGAGAGGGAAAAACGGCAGGGGGGGTGGGAGGTGGGGGTAAGAAACAATGGACAGCCAGATGTCGTGTGTATGCGATGTAGCTCGACAGAACAGTAGACTAGAGAATGAGTCTCGTGGAGTGTTGTCGCTTGCGATACGGGTACACAGAGCGTGTGGGTGTACAAAAACGTTTTAGATCTGCGGCTATGTCATGCATGCACACCCTGCTCGCGGCAGTTTCTTATTTTAAGAGTAATGTGGATCTGTTGACAGCGATTGTATCTACGACTGATTACAGAGATTCTGGGTTCGGAATCGAGAATGCCGGTCGGTTACCCTTAACCAAGCGGCACTAGATTTATTACTGTGCAAGGCATATGCCATTAATAACATAGGGCAATGGGAAACAAAAAAGAATGTTGAGGCGTAGAGCTCGTTGTGTGATTGTCGTATGCGATTTCTCTATGGTTGATACGCTTTTTATGGTGGGGGCATAGAGAAGCTCATGCGGTCTTGAATAATGTAATTCCTTAAACGATTGGCGTATAGCATCGATCCGATTGTAAAGAGGGAAGAGAAAAGGGGGGACTGGGGAGGGGAGGGTGAGGGGCAAGTGGGTAGGCATGTATTGTACACCGCTCGTTTTCATCTCATGAGGGCTTTTCCACACTACTGAGGAGTGTGCTCCCCAACCGGTTGAAGGCGAATTTCGCTCGGTGTGGCGAGTACTCGGGAAGGAGGGGGGGGGGTAGTAGGCATGTATTGTACACCGCTCGTCTTCATCTCGGGAGGGCAGTTCCACACTACTGAGGAGTGTGCTACCCAAACGGTTGAAGGCGAATTTCACTCGGTGTAGCGAGTACTCGTGAAGGAGGGCGGGGGGTAGTAGGCATGTATTGTACACCGCTCGTCTTCATCTCGTGAGGGCA